AAAAGCTGCACATTTTAAGAGATTTCCTGACTATAACAATAGGTAACATTTCGTAGATGACAAAATATTTCATCACTAATACCATTATATTTTAAGTTAGGTTGTATAAAATAGCTTTAAGGAGAGGCTGTGGAATTAGCTATATAGAAATTAATACAGACCCTGTTACTGGGCCAACCTACAGTGGGATTATTTTTTGGTGTGGTTGTGGACAAATTACTTATTCTTTCTGAACACCAGTTTGGGTATTAAAAAAAAAACAAACAGCCTGCAATATGAGCATCCTCATAAAGCAGTGAGGTCTGAAATTAGACAATCAATGTAAGAGAGCCAGTTTCCTTTTTCAGTAGGACAAGATGCCTCTAAAATCTATGCCCAAGTTTGACTATTTATATCTTGTCTCTTTGCTCCAAAATATTTGTATTTAATTAAAAATTTATAATGAAATTAGAAAATTAAAATAAAGATAGAAACCAAATAGAGATAAAAAACAATGCTAATCATAAAGATCAAAATAGGAGTTGCATGATCCAAAAAAGAAAAAGGAAAAAAGATAATTTGGACTTCATCATAATTAAACTTCTGCTCTTCAAAAGTCATAGTTAGAAAAATAAAGAGACAAGCTACACACTCAGAGGAAATATTCATAAAACACAAATGTGAGAAAGGAATTGTATGAAGAATATACAATGAATTCTCATAGTCAACAGAAAAAAAAATAACACCTCAATAAAAACTTGGCCAGAAATTTGAACAGATACTTCATTAAAGAAGAGATATACTCTTGAGCCCAGGAGTTTGAGGTTGCTGTGAGCTAGGCTGACGCCACAGCACTCTAGCTGAGCAACAGAGCGAGACTCTGTCTCAAAAGAAAAAAAAAAACAAAAAAAAAAGAAGAAGAGATATAGTGAAGTGAGAATACCAGGCTTGAGTAAGTGGAACATTCATTGATTGCTGAGGGGAATCCAAATGCCACTTTGGAAAACAGTTTGGCAGTTGCCTATAAAGTTAAGCACACACCTACCTTAAGATTCAGCAGCCTCACTGCTAGATATTCACTCAAGTTGAATGAAACCCTCCGTCCATACAAAAACCTAAACTTAAATGTTTATGGCAACTTTATTTTTAACAGCCCAAATTGGAAATAGCTAAATGTCTTTACACTGATAACTAGACAAGCAAACTACAGTATATCCATAACATGGAATACTCCTCAGCAACAAAGAGTGAACTATTGATATGCAAAACAACACGGATGAATTTCAAATGCATTATGCTAAGTGAACAAAGCCAGACTCAAGAGGCGGTACACTGTATGGTTCCATTTTTAAGACATTCTGGAAGATGCAAACTATAGGATCAGGAAAAAATCAGTGGTTGCCAGGGGCTTGAAAGCGGGGAGGGAAAGTTGAATATAAAGACCACAAAGGAGCTTAAAGGGCAATACTGTCCTATATCTCAAATGCGGTTATGGTTACATAGCTATGCATTTGCCCAAACTCATAGAAATACACACTAAAATAGGTGGCTTGTACTATATATAAATTATATGTCAGTAATCTCATTTAAAAAGAAAAAAATACAGTTTTTGATTGAACATAGAACCTGAGCTTCTTGGAAGCCAATAAAAAGAGAATAATGTGTTACATACCTCTCATCTTAGAGGAATAAAATTCCAGTTCCTAAGTGTGACTAAAGGTTTTCCCAGCATCAAGCTGAAGACAATGTCTATCTTGAGGGCATTGCACAGGAGCTGTTAAAGGTTGAATTGGGTAATAATCTAGGTAGCAATTTCATAGAAAACACAAAACAGAATTCATATGATTACTTCTTGCGTGGAGAGCATCCTATGGTGAGGCTGGTGCGTGGCCGGGGAATCAGGTGGACTGTCCATCTGGTGGCCTCAGAGGGTGGCCTCCTAGGAGTTAGCCTTGGTGAAGTCCCTGAAGAGGAGGATACATCTTAGACTTGCATGCTCATGCTCATAAGGCATAATGCCTTAATGCTATTTCAGAGCTGAATGGATTCATCCTGATACCAACCCACATGCCAATCTGTTAATTTGCAGCCAGAAATCTAAGTACCTGGCAAACGGGATAGTGACATCCTCTGGCCAGCATGTTTCTTCCCAGTTGGAGGAGGTACGGTATGGTGTGGTCGACAGAACATCAACTCAGAGATGAGATTTCAAATCCTGACTCTCCATCTTATGAACAGCATGTGACATTAGTTAAATTATTTAACTTGCCCCAGGCCTCAAATTTCTCATCTGAAACATGAGCATAATAGCATCTCTCTTATAAAGTTGCTGTGAGGAGTGAATAAAGTGGTATGTATGATTGACTTAGCGTAGCACCTGGGCATATAGTAAGTTCTTAGTACTAACTTTCGTTGGTTAGATCTAGTTACATGGGAAGCAAATTTACAGATAGGTGGTTGATCAGCAATGGGTTTTCTGGATTATTCTTCACACAGTAACCAGAGTGATGTTTAAAAAACAAAAACAAGAAACAAATCAAATTATCCCCCTGCTTAAACACGTCAAAGATCTCTCATTGTACTTAGAAACTCACTGTCACGCTGCCTAGGTTCACATCTGTGGTTCTCATCCTCGGCCATGGTGTCTGGAATCTGCTGGGGAGCCTGGAAAACCGCTGCTGCCTGCATCCATGTCTGTAGATTCTAAGGAGACCAGTCTGGGTGGGGACTAGACATTGAGACTTTTGTGAGCTCTAGACGGTTCCAGCGTGACCTGCTCCAGCCCCTTCCTGCTGTCTAACCTGTTTCTTACCAGGCTTCCTCTCCTTTCCTGCTCCTGCACCTGGGCCTCCCTTCTGATCCTTGAATGTGCTGAGCTCTTTCTCCCCTCAGGACCCGGCGCCTCCTCACTGCCCAGCCAGGTACCACCACCCCTTCCATGTCAAGCTCCAATTCCATCTGTGTTATGACTCTGGCCCCTGGTCAGAGCCCAGGGTGCTCTTTCCCTTCAGGAAGCTGGGGCTCGCAGGGCTGGGACTTGACAATCACTGTCTTGTTGCTGGTTGTAGCCATTGGAAACCTGTGCATCTTCCTGTATGGATCACGTTGTTCACAGGGCTAATCTGGTCTTCACGGTGAAGACATAAGTCTCAGGTGTTCAAAAATCATCCTTGCTCTTGGAGTCCCCAGTATATGTCCCAGATGAGGGTGTGGCCAGTGAGGCATCACCTTGGACACAGATTTAAGCAAGTACCCAAAAACCTCAGTAGGTTTTAGAGAAAATATTTTAAAGCAATATTTTTTTTTAAAAAAATCAAAATTAATGCCAAAATCCATGATGAAAAAAATCACAATTTAGGTCAATTCAGGATCTATCCAGTGAATAAAGAGATGTTTTAGTAGGAAGCATTTTAAATTGTGGCTACAGTGCTTTTGACAGACAATTTGATTCTGTTCTGCCTTCTTGGGTTGTGTTTCTCAAACTGGCTGATGTAGATTTCGACGGGCATAAAGTTTGTGATGAAAATATTTTATATTGAAACACCTATGGCCATACTGTGGAAAGGAATACAAAAGTTTTATGACATTTTAAAAGAAATCAAATGCAAGACTTTGAAAAAATGTTTCCTAGGAGCTTTAGGATAACATCTCAGCATCCTAGATGATGTGCATTTTCTTTCTTCTGCCACTAGGTGTAGTTGGGGGAACCAGTTGAGAAGCACTGTCATAAAACTTGTAATTAACAAATTCACTGCCATGTGAGTTGTATTTAACTCACGCTAGTTTTGAGCTTGGGGCCTTGTGAAACTTATGTAATTCACATCTCTTCACCTTGGGAACTGTGAGAGCTATTTTTCAAGCTGCATGTAACTCATACACAGAAAACAATAAAAAATTGCAAAATTTTCTTTAAATTAGAAAGGATTATTTTGTTTTCAAAGTTTTTGTTCTATTTTTGTAATAAAACACTGTGGCCCCAAGGAAAATAATTGTTTCTTGAGTGTGGCAGTCAATGTGTTAAAGAACATTGGAGTACAAGGCAGTAAAATTGCTGTAATGTGCAGAATAGCCTGTGAGCTGTGCTTGGTCACAGATGGGAGGGAGGGGTGAATTACTGGGAAGGGCAGTAGGAATCAGGTCTGATGAACTTACACAAATGGCCTCTCATGCAAGTTTTCTGGCTGAACCTGTGCTTGCCATATGTAAAATTAAATGTTGGGACATGAAGCAAAAGGTTCTTTTTAGCTTTAGTAGTCTGAGATATTTTGGAAGAGGAAGGCTCATGAGCAAGCTTCCTTGGAATTTGCAGTGCATGAACTTGACCAGCAGAGGGCAGAAAGTGCACACTCCTTTTAAAAAGTAACCTTCCAATTTTCCACCCACCCAGGGAGAACTGTGATCCTGCAAAAGAAACAGTGTTTGGACTTTTTAATAACAACTAGGCCTAAGAGAAAATTTTCTTTTCATTAAATGTTTTTATTTTACATGTTTAAACTGAAAAAACATTCTTAAAACATTGTCTTGGCTCTGGGACATCACTCTCTCTGGTTCCACTCCTACTTCTGTGGCTACTCCTTCTAAGTCCCCTGTCATGGTTCCTTCTTGTCTTTTTGACTTCTACATATTGGGTTACCCACCAGGGCCTACTCTGCCTTAATTATTTACACTCATTGCCTAGTGTTCTCATCCTGTATTCCAAATTTGTGTCTCCAGCCTAGGCTACTTCCCTGAACTCCAGAATCACACATATCTATTCACCCCAGGGATATTGGCAGTTGGAAGTACAGAGGGAATTTCAAAAATCTAATATGTGCAACTTAAAGTCCTTATTCCCACCTGCCTCCCAATGTTGTTTTCCCTTATCCTTCCCAATCTCAGAAAATGTCCTTTCGGTATTTTGTTGAAACTTATTTTATTCTTTGGTATTTTAAATATGTTCATTTTAAAAATAAAAATATAAAAGACAAACAAAAATATATTCATAAAAATAAAAGGATTTATTCTGTAAAATTTGGGTTCAGTCAAAAGGTTGCACTTAAGGACCTCGAAGGCCACATGTGGCTGTGAGCCAACAGGTTCCCCACCCCGTTCTTGGCTGTATGCAGAAGGCTTAGAAACAAGGTCCCTGTGGAGCACAACCCTACTACGTCTTGGTGAGTAACTTAATGGATAAAACAGGGCTCAACCTCATCGTAAATCCCTTGGTCACTTGCCATTAATTGCTGATCACAGAGCGTGTTGGGATAGACAGACAGAAAGCAGCATGCTTGTCCTGTATAATTGTAGCAATGAGGCCAGGAAGCATATTCTCTGAGAAGGTGCCACTTCTCTTCCGTGTCAGTCCTGTTTACTGGGTTCTGGAGCATTCCTATTACCAAAGAATCCTGCCTCCAAATTGGATATATTTAGAAATAGAGTGGAAAAAGAAAAGTAGTCATACCGGGTAGTTCACAGAGACACTGGTTAGGCTGGTGAACCGGGCTCGGGGCTGTGCAGGTGGGAAATGTATCTCTGATTACGCCACTGAGCTAGTCCAGGGATGTGCCTGGGACGTGCTGGGGAGCGTGAGGCTGCAGTGCGTGCTGGTGACACTGCTACTCACGGACTCTGGATGCTGCCCCGGGACCTTGGTCTTGCTGCTCATAAAGAAGTTTTCTTTATTGCTTTTCTCAAATTAGAGTGAGTTGAATCTGTAGCTCCCCATGATGGTGTAATGGGGGGGGGCACCTTGAGGCCTTTTATTTTCTTTGATTTTTTTTTTGGGTTTTCCTTTTACTTGAATATTTTATGTATAAAATTTATATTAAAATTCATACATACATATAGAATAAAAGGCACAGGTTGTATTATTTTCTATGAGAAAAAGACATGATTTAAAAGATAAATTTTGAATTGCACAAGTAGCAGTGGGGAAGAAGAAGATATTTATTTACTTTCCTCTGCAGCTTATTGTGAACAAGGGGAAACACCAACTTAAGATATGCAATGAAATAAATTTATTTATAATAGTACATTTATGTAGATTTTTTTTAAACCTGTTGTGTTAGACTTCAGAATGGCAAAATGGAATAAGAACATGGAAAGAACACAAAATTAGTAGTCAAGAGACTGGTTTTGGCCTCAGTTCTGCTATGAACTATGTAAGTGACCTTGATTAAGACATTTCTGTCTGTGCCCTCTTACTTTCTCATATCAAAGGGTGTGATAGATAATTTCTGAGGTTCATTTTGGCTTTTAGTTTCTAGGTCTTGGAGATGAGGAAAGAAGATGAGCAACTTCCTTGGAACTTTAGTGTGATCACCAGAAGGCATGGAATCTTGTGGTTACAGAGACAGCTCATTTTCAATTTCCCACTGACATAATTTTTATGCTCACATTGTCTTATTTGTTGCCACAAGATACTGATGCGAACTTGTAAATAAGTTGGACAATAGCGATCATCCCTGAAAAGATTTTATTTTTCAATATACATTTAATTTTATATTTAACTGATATGACAACCATATTACAAAAAATAAACAAAACACAGTCATCTCTCACTACTCTCATGCAAGTTTTATTTTGTGCAGTTATATTATTAATATTAAGGATAGATGGGATTATGCCACTGCTTCAAATCTCATAGCCCCAATATCAAAAAATGCTTAAGTCTTGCTCATACTCTATTCTCCACATGGGCCAGAAAGGTTCTCTGCTCCATGTGGTCACTCAAGGCTCCATCATCTTGTATTTGCACCATTTAGAGCATATGGCCTCTTCAGTTGTGTTGCAGGTAAAGGAGGAACTGGAAATTGCATGTGGCCTTTTTCCTTGCCTCAGCCTGCAAAGGATGTGTTTCTTTTTTCTTATTTTTTTTTGGCTCTCTCTTTCTATCTGTGTGGGGAGTGTGGGATATATGTGTGCGCATGTGGCATATGTGAGTGTTATTGTGTCTCTCATATTTTTTGTGTCTGTGTGTATACATCTTTTTTGTATATGTGTTTCTATTTTTTACTCTTTTTTTATCTCTCTCTCTCTTTTTTCTTCTAATTTTATATAACATTTTTTTATATTTTATATCTCTGTGTTGTTTTTATTTTTCCTATTTTTCTTTGTTTTTTGTTTTTTATCTGCGGCGTTTTTGTGTGTTCAATGTTCTATTATATTTATGTACCCTAGTTTATAAGTTTATTGGACACTTAAGTGGTAATCTATTATTATTTTTGACCATTACAACATATTGAATTGATCAAATGACATACCTACGATTAATTTCTAGTGCCATGAAGCTTTCCAGTTTGGATAGTAAAAAGGAAGATGATTTCTCTACTCATATGCATAAATTAATTCTATGTTCCAAATTTTATTTGTTTGGGCATAATGTTTAGATATGGCAACTCTCATTCATTTTGACAAGAAAAATCCAAAGCACATAAACCCTGAATCTTATATGCTTATCATCACAAACTCTCTAATGTTCTGTTGGGGTTCATCCACAGTTTAAATTAAAGCTGACATACATAGAGTCACACAACTAGTGATTTTAGGGTGGGAATTTAACTTGGCTTTGGGGACTACAGCTAATAGTAACAGAGTCAGACATTTTTCCTTTGAATCTCCTAATACAATAATCAGAACATTTTTATTCACCCAGTTATAGTTAAAGACTTCCCCTGATTCATTGTATACATACAATGAAAGATCAAGAAAGAGAAGGAAAGTTTTCTTTTTATCTTTTTTTATTGTCTTTATTTATTTATTTTATTTCTTTTTATTTATTTTTTCACCCAACATGACTTTTGACTAAAAGAAAGAAAGTTTTAAATGGAAGCTTTAACTGTACAAGTTTGGCCTCACAGTTTTATTAGGGGGGCACAATCATCCATTTTTGGATAGATTTCTTCTAACATCTGAATGATATAAAGAGAGCCTTTGAGAACCTGGTTAATCACAGAAGTGTATATTTCACCGGAAGGCTGATCCTTACCAGTTATTGAATGTCCTGAGCTGCCTTCAGAAAACGTTACTGTGGAGCAAGGACTGAACAGAATCAGTGAAATTTATTGAGAACGATGATTATCCAGGTTAGTATATATATGATTGACTAACTTAGGCAAAAGACAGTCAAGAAACTGGGAATGCTTGCTCTTCTGGTTTTTGTTATGATGGACAAGGTATTCCATATTAACACTCCTGATGACAAGTACTAGGCAGCCCTAGTCACCAGTTAGATCATCTAGCAGTTTGTAGTTTTAGAGCTTCTAAGTTGATATTAGAACTTCTAAGTTTGACTTCTGTCTTTTCTAGTCATACAGTCACACATTCTGTGACTGTGTCTGATTTACACTGGATATTTTCACACCCCATTGCCCATGACATTTGCTTTTGTACTCGCTGATTGCTTTGCATAAGCCCCTCTAGGCCAAGGCCAGCTGCCCAGGTTTTATAAACCAGACTTTTGCAATGTGAATTGCGCTGCACCAGGCAGGCAGGGAAGGCAAGATGGTGTCACAGACCCAAGTCCTCTGGTTCCTGTTGCTCTGGGTCTCTGGTGAGGAATTTAAGTGTCACACTCTCTTCAGAGCAATATCTGTGTAGAAATCAAACAAATTTAAGATGTAGTGGGAAATAATGACTATTTCCAGTATGGCCCCAATTATGTGCTGACTTATAATAATGCTATTAGAAAGCACATTTGAAATGACATATTTTAATGTATATACTACAAAGTGTGTGTCTATGAATGTATGATCATTTTCCATTCCTGATTACAGATGCCTGTGGGGACATCGTGATGACCCAGTCCCTGAGGTCCCTGGTCGCATCTGCAGGAGAGAGGGTCACCATCAACTGCAAGTCCAGCCAGAGTCTTTTATCCAACAATAAGAACTACTTAGCCTGGCACCAGCAGAAACCAGGACAGGCTCCTAAGCTGCTCATCTCCTGGGCATCCACTCGAGCATCTGGGGTCCCCGACCGATTCAGTGGCAGTGGGTCTGGGACAGACTTCACTCTCACCATCAGCAGCCTCCAGGCTGAAGATGTGGCAGTTTACTACTGTCAGCAGTATCATAGTGCTCCTCTCACAGTGCGTCAGACTCGAGCACAAACCTCCTCCCCGGGCCACAGATCAGTGAGTCTTTGCTGCAGAGGATGCTTCCTCCTCGCCCAGGCCTGCCCATGCATGCTTCTTCCACCTGCCTGCGAAGTCCCATCTCTTGATTTATTTCTTGGAGGGTCTGCAGGGCCCAGGAGAGTATTAAGGGACTTGACTTTTTTCTGGATCGCTTTTTGTGGGAGATTATTAAAGAAGAATGTTGTAATGATCTCTTAGACATTGTCAGGAGTTTTTGTGTCACAAGAACCTGCATGTTTCACATGGACAGATCACATGACAGAGCCAGTAAGATCTATCTTTACCCTCTAGATGAGGGTCCAGTGAATTTTATACGCTGATCTATCAATTCTCTCTTCCATGTGTCTCCTCTGACCCTAGAAACTTTCCATTTTGATTCCTTATTCTTTTGGTCTTCTTTCTTTACCTGATGTACTTCTTTATTCTTAAACATCTCAAACCCAGGCATTCTGAGTTTCATGCATGAGTGAAGGGACTTTCAAGGGTAAAGACTAGACCAGATTTCACTGTCCACGTCAACGTCAGAAGCTAGGAGGTGCCTCTTCTGTACCCCTGGGGACAGACATCAATATCAAGGGTGGGTGGAGATACTTTTTGCTGGATTCCAGGTTGGTCCAGAAACCCCACTCTGAGTCAATCTGTGGGGTCTCCAGAGTGGGTCCCCAGTGTAGGTTCCCCTGAGGAGTAGCTGTACAGGACAGTCGGTGAGTCTAAGGTCGGTAAACAGGGGACCCTCAAGATGAAGCCTGCTCAAGCTGCTTTCCTGTCTGCAGGACTTTTCAGAACTTTTAATATGCTGGTGGACCCTCTGACTGTCTGGGAGCAGGGAGAACAACACAACTGAGTTCCCCCATTTTATCCTCCAGGGAATCTCCATTTCTCCCCAGGGCAGCTGGCAGTGGGGGTTGGGTGGAGAGCGGGCACTGGGGTTGACTGAGCAGACACTGGCACAGGGCCTCTGAGTCATGCTGCAGGATCCTCCCTAGGCCTTGGCCAGGTCCACATTTTTATCCCATTTGAAGCCAATGCAAAAGTAGAAGAGCTAACAAAACAGCTGATCAAATCAACATCCAAAAAGATTTTGATAAGTGGGGATGCTGGGCTACAATGGATTGAAAAGACAGGGTTGGGGGTGGGGGTGGGTAAACTCACAACTAAGAGACACAGGTGAGCATTGCGTGGGGGAAGGGCACGCCTCTAATCCTGGCTTGGGTAAGGCAAAGTCATAGTATGTAACCAAAATGTTTGTACCCCTAAACATTTTTTGGGGGGGTTCTGAATGCTCAGGCTGGAAGCCACAGCAGTAGCCATCTAGGCGGTCGTGGACTTGCAGAGACACCCTGCCTCTGAGAGGGGGTGGCCTGGCACCTGCCCCCAGCATGCCCAACCTTTAGGCCATGTGACTTGCCGCTCCCTGTGTGACCTGCCAGGCTCTCATGCTGGTCAGCTCTGCTGCAGGCCTCCAGCCAGCAATGGGGGCTCTGCTCTGCCCCTCTGGTCCCCCAGGGGGCCAGCGTGGATTCCCACCTGGTGCCACTGCCTACCCTGCACTGCTGCTCCTCATCTGTGGCCTGGCGCTCACAGGCCACAGAGTGCTGCCCATCTGTCCCTCTACCTAGGCAGCCCTGCACAGGGCTTCATTTTTCTTCTTTCAGCAGCAAATACTGCATCAGGGAGTCCTCCCTTTTTCGGAGGTGCAAGTCCTTTCATGAGCCATAGGAGGCTGCCTTGGGTGCCCCACGGAATCCCCCCTCTCCCTGCCCAGCCATTGCAGGAAGTTTGCACAGAGCAGTGCGTGGGTTCCAGCTTAACCAAGGTGCGCGTGGTGGGGTGGGAGGGATGGAAGGCGCCGTATCACGGTCCTCCCCACCAAGGGCTGCAGTGAAGCCGATCGCCCCCAGTTCCGGGGCAGAAATGAAACCCTCCACCACCCCATGCAACTTTCAGGGCCCAACTCCAGCCCCGGGAGGCGGCGCAGGCTCCGCGCGTCCAGAGCCAGTGAGCGCTGCTCGTGGCCACCTGTCCGGTGGCCTCCCCAACCGCCGCTCGCGTGCCCCCCCCCCAGCAGTTCCTACCCGGTCCTCCGCGGCTGCCGGGCTGGCTGGCCAGTAGTCGCGCTCAGGTGGCTCTCAGACTCATCCCGCCGCCCCCTGGCGGCCCCGCGCAGCCGCTTGCGGGTTTCCAAGGGTGCGCCGCTGGGGCAGGTTGCCAGACTGGAGGTCCACACCGTCACTTCAGCCGAGTGACCCCGGGCCAACTCTTGGGCCAGCTATGACCTTGGTGATGCTCCGCAGGTGGGGAACGCCCGCAGGAAGTGCGGGGATGTGCGAGCCTCTGGGATCTGCTGAGGACAGTTTGCAGAGTTTGCAGTACCTGCCCCAGGTCCCAGCCCAGCCTCCCCATTGCCCAGAAAGTGCGACGGGTGTGTGGGGGGAGGAGGTTGGGAGGAGGGGAAGCTCCTTTCATAATAAAAGCCCTGGCCAGCCACAGCCATCTGGAGCAGGGGCCCAGGTGCCAGGAATGAATGGGCCCCGCCCTGCCCGCCGACTGCTGGGTGATGAGGCAAGGGGCACCAGGCAGGGTCATCCTTTCCTCTAAGGTGTGGGGGTGCTCAGTGAGTGGTGAGCTCCCTGTCATGGTGCTGGTGCCCTGAGGGTCGCCCAAACTGCCACCCTCCCCTCCAAAGCCTCTGTAAGGCAGTTCTTTTTCGCTGGGACCTTTTCACTTTGTTGGGGCTCAGTTCCCAAGGGCGATTTGGAAGGAAAATCCGTTTTTTTTTTTTTGTTTGTTTGGTTTTTTTGAGACAGAGTCTCGCTTTGTTGCTCAGGCTAGAGTGAGTGCCGTGGCATCAGCCTAGCTCACAGCAACCTCAAACTCCTGGGCTCAAGCAATCCTGCTGCCTCAGCCTCCCAAGTAGCTAGGACTACAGGCATGCACCACCATGCCCGGCTAATTTTTTCTATATATATTAGTTGGCCAATTAATTTCTTTTTATTTATAGTAGAGACGGGGTCTCGCTCTTGCTCAGGCTGGTTTCGAACTCCTGACCTTGAGCAATCCTCCCGCCTCGGCCTCCCAGAGTGCTAGGATTATAGGTGTGAGCCACCGCTCTGGCCAGGAAAATCCCTTGACTGCTTAAGGTCACTAACAATGAACAGTTTTTCTCCTTAAGAACTAATCCTGTAAAGGTCACTGGAGTAAGTGGCTGATTCCCATCTCTCTGCTCAGGGTGCGCAGATGGTGCCTTTTTGTCCTCTGAATCATCCACCGTTGACAGTGGCACGGTGGACCTTGGCACTTGCTATGTCCGCTCCCTGGAGTGAGTGCCCTAGATATCCCACGGTTTGCCCCTCGTCTCCTTCGGGTCTCTGCCGGAGTGTTCCCTCGTCACTGACGCCCTCCCTGACCACCCTGTTTGCAGCTGCACACCCCTCCCTCCTCACTTCCACATTTTGGTTTTTCTTTTCTGAACTAGGCAACTCCTTGGAAGCTGTATTAAAGGATTTTAAATTTGATAACCAATAACCCTCTTCCTTCTATTAATAGGAAGCATCACTTCGTGTGTCATTACTTCTAGAACTTCGGCTGAAGGGTTGCTGGCTGCCCCCAGGTTTGCGGTGCTGCCTCTGTCTACACTGTGAACCTGTAAGTAGGAAACACTCAATGCAGACAGGCGGGTGCTAGAGAGGAACGTTGTATTATTTTTCACCAGAGGATGCTTCCCACTTCGTTACGAGTGAGTCTATCTTTACCTTCACCAGTTAGAAGATTTCCAACTTGCTCTAAGGACGTTTCAGGGCCCTTTGTCTATTGGTCCCCATGGGAGCCAGTGGTGCTTTCGCAGCAGGGGCCCTGGGTGGGTTGGGATTGACGGAGGCCCAGTCACCTAAGGCTCTGCATCGGCCTCAGCCCTGGGAGCTGTGGGGGCTCCCAGGGAAGTGAGATCCCATTCCTGCTCTCCAGGGGTTCACATCCTGGTAGAAACCAGAGCTGTGGGAGGCAGGGAGTGCTGGTGCCTGCTCAGAGGGTGGCGGCCTTCCAGCTGGATGAGGTGGCCTTAGGCCTGCAGGGTGGACACAGCTGCGCGCTGCAGAGCAGGCTGGGGGGATGCGGCGGAGGGGGCACAGGGAAGCTTGCAGCCTGGGGAGCTTTGGGGGTGGGCCGGGGGGGACCCACTGGGGCAATCTGGGCAGGCTGGGTCCTGGGAGTCTTCACTACCTGGGCTGTGTGACTTCCCATTTTGGTCATGTGGACTCGTTCTGATCAGATGACAAGAAAGCAAAATAGCTCCTTTTCTCTTTGCTGCAAGATTCATTAACCAAATTCCTGAACAAAGAAGAGACTGTGGCTATGACAGAAGCCCAAATCCACAAAATCCTCAGCCCAGCATGCCTCAATAATGAATTCACGTCGCTGATCTGCTGTTGGGAGAAGCAGCTTGTTCAGTGCGAGAACACCGGGCAGCGAAGTCTGACCCGACTGGGCTCAAACCCAGCCCTGCCCCGTTCCAGCAAGGCATTCACGCTCTGAGCCTCAGTGTTCTCACCTGTGAAATGGGTAACAGTGTGACCCGGCACACAGTGGGCGCTCAATCAGCTGCTTTGGCTGCCTCCACTGATAGCGGTTGGTGTCCTTTAGAGGATCATGGCATGTCAAGTCCACCCATTCAGAACAGCTTCCAGGAAGCCACAGGCTCCAAAGCGATTGTGGCCGTGGGAGACAGAAGCTCTAACCTGCAAGGTACAGAACGAGAGGGCTCGAGTGGTCTTTAGAGAATCCTGTGAGGCTCCAGGGAGCAGGGAGGTGGCTTCTTGTGCCCTTCTTAGGGGGTTTTATCCACTTTTCCGGTTCACATTCACACCAACTCCTGAGAAAGCATTAACTCACCTCCTCCACACCTTTCAACCTTTTAGAAATCTGAGTCCTCCATGAGCCCAGCCAGCGAAAAGAATCATCATGAAAAAGCCCAGCTCCCGAAATGGCCTGTTTCTGAACTAGAAATACAATGTCAACCCTAGGTCACCATAGCAAAGAAAGACACAGTTTAAGCCATCATTAATTCCAGAAACTAATGACTTAGCAGGACTAGTTGCTGATTTTGATTTTTATAATTACTCGCCCAAGTCGTGCATGACACTGTCAACCCCATCCCCAGCCTGTGACAGCCCTGGACAGCAGCTGCAAGAAATACATAAGTCAATACTGGCTGTTTTCTAAAACCCACTTCCCTGATAGAACTCAATGCCACTTTTCTTGTTGTGATGAGTGGCTCAGCTTTGCTGTTTCATGGGAACCTCTCCTTTCCTGCCTCAGGGCAAGGGGACAGCACTCTGCTGTTGCTGGAGTGATACTCACTGTATCAGTGGAGAACCGGTGCTCTCCTAACATGCAGAGTCAGTGTGCCTTTGGCCCCTGCTAACAGGGACAGGAGACACGCATTAGTCGGCCTGGCCTGTCTGCCGTGCCCCTCATGCACGCGCTAGAACAAACACTGAAATTCTGATCTGAAACTCACCATGATTCAGAATGACCCCCTTCTCTATGTCATTAATCCCTGGCTTTTATCAACTATGGCTCCATCTCCAAGCTCTGGGCAGCCCTGGGTCCCTGCATGGAAGGCCTGTGGGCGCAGGTGGCATTCTCAGCCCAGCCAGCCTCATGGGGCCTGCTCTCGTTCTTCAGTTTGGGGTCTCCTGGGCCTGGGCATGGTGGCCCACAGGCCTGGCCATGCCCTCTCACACTCCCCACTCCCCATCTAGGTGAGTGCTCCTGGCCCAGATGGAAGTCACGAAGACCTTGCACCCAGAGCCGCTTCTCAGCTGCCAGCAGCAGTTCCAGCAAGCCATTTCCGGTTTCCCAGCACGTGATGTGCTGCTCTGGGTAAGTTTGGCAGGATTTGAAAGTGAAATGGACTTGCAGAGAGTCTGCGCCTTGTGGGCAGCTCAGGTCTGCTGTGCGTTCAGCTCACAGCGGCCATCTGTCCAGAGTAGCAGAGGCTGCCAAGAGCCCAGCCCAGGGATTGATGCCAGGGCCCTGGCCTCTACAGCTCCAAGTGGCTGTAAGGAGGGGTTGGCCTTCCTGAGCTGGGTCGTGGCTGTTTGCAGCACCACCTGCACACATCAGAAAGGACACAGAATTCAGAGTGGAAATGCAGGAGTCGGGGTTCTCCTCTGCTGTTCCTGCCATTTTGCCTGTGGGTGTTTAGGCTGTTCCCCTCTAAGCCTCCTCTCCTGAAATGCGGGTGATGGGGCCATGCCCTGCCTCTGTGGAGCAAGTGAGAGGTGGCCAAAGTGTCCTCAGTAAATAGTCAAGGACTGAACCACAGGCAGGAGCATAACTGCTGCATGGCTGGGAGACCAGTGCGGTGGAGCTGAGTCCACACCACGGGCTGCCGTTGGGGTCCAGGAGATGCTTCCTGTGGGCACACTCGGTACTGGGCCCGAGCTCAGGGCCTGGCACACAGTGGGCCCCAGTTTGTGGTCCTGCTGCCCTATTTCATCTCTAAATCTGCCCCAGGAGGGCTGCAATGTTATCCCTCTGGACCAAGAGAAACCAAGGGCCAGCAAGGACGCTGATGTGCTGCTGTGGCCATGGAAGGGACTCCACCCTGGCACCAGGTTCCAGGTGCGTGGGGCTCATCCAGTCTAGGCCAAGGAGGCCAGGACAGGAGCCAAAACAGTTACAGTCCGTGCCTTCATGGAACCTCTCGCTGCACCCGGGGTAGGAGCCATCCCGAGTCAGCCCTGCTCGGCCTGCAGCCCAGTGTTGGGTTGTGGTATCTGCCATTTATTCTCCCTCGTCCTGGGCCAAGCCGGCTGGGTCCAGAGATGCAGAGTTGGCCCTTACCCACTTCTTACTGCCCCAGGAGTGTCACTTAAAGGTGGATCCTAATGTCAGCTATGTTGTAGCATCACCCTGACACCAATCCGAATTTAAAGAAAAAGAAATTGAATATTTCAAGTGTAGACATTATAAGGTCTTTAAAAGTCTAAAGTTATTACTGATTTTCAAACAATAAATGGAAAGGTCACTGAAGCCTTTTACGGGTTTAAATTTCTAATAAGCTAAATATCAATCTCTATAATGATGTCAACAAAAAACATCTTGTTTTCTTTAAAGAGGAAAATGTTCTTGCGACCCATAAAGGAGAAAAACCACTGTGGGTTATACTCAGCCATGATTGGCCGGTTTCTTGCTCTGACCTCATAAAGAGCCATTGTTATCCAACTAGTAACACCTGTATGAGCCCCTGGCTGGGCCTAGGATTTTGTCCTTATTGCTCAGGAAGCTGCCTTTTGGTGACCTGTGGAGTTTGACTGTAGTGAGACTGCTTTTTCCTTTTTAGTTAGCATTGTTAGTGTGGTTAGTATAGTTAGCATTCTTTGTTAGCTGTCTTAGGGTAAGATAGTACTGTTTGTTAGTGTTGTTACCATCCTATAGTTAGCATTGTTTGTTAGTAGCATTAGCATACCATGGTTAACATTGATTTTTATTAGTGTTTGTATAGTATACTTAGTATTGTTTCTTTGTAATGATAGTATAATGAGTATTGTTAGCCTATTTAGATTATTTATTCGTATTATAAAAGTGGTTCATAAAGTTAGTATTGCTAGTATCGTCAGTATTGTCAGAGTAGTTAGTATAGCTAGCATTGCTAGCACTCTTAGCCTAGTTAGTATAGTTGGTAGTGTTCATGAGTTAGTTAGCATAGTTAGGGTAGAGTTAGCATAGTTAGAGGTGAACATAGAGCAGGTTGTGGCCTCCAATTCATCCACTGAGGGGCTTAACAGTTATAAGCTCCTCAAGAGCATTGGCTCAGGTACCTACGGCAAGGTGATGCTGGCCCAGCACCTTCCTACTGGGACCCAGGTGGCCATCAAAATCATGTCCAAGCAGACCATCCCCAGCCTGGAAAGTGTCTCTATGGAGGTCAAAGCCACAAGGGCCCTGAATCATCTGAACATCCTTAAGCTTCTGGATGTCATCGGGAATGAAGACGCCCTCTGCTCAGTGACAGAGTACGCCCTCTGCTCAGTGACAGGGACCTTTTTTGGCACATAGTGAGACGCCACCGCGTGAAGGAGAAGACCTGGGCCAAATTCTGACAGATGCTGGCTGCCGTGCAGTACTGCCAGGAGAACCACATTGTCCACCAGGACCCGAAGCCCCCCAACATTCTACTTGATGAGAAGGAACATCAAAGTAGCTGACTTTGGCTTTGCCATGACATTTAGTGAGAGGAAGAAGCTGCACATCTTCTGTGGAACTCCTTGTTTTGTGCCCCAGAAATGTTCCTGGATGAGGAATACACGGGACAGGAGGTGGACATGTGGAGCCTGGGTATTGTCCTCTACACCATGACAGCCAGAAGTCCTGCATTTGATGGTGACAACTGGGAGGAACTTAAAAGTAACATCACCCATGGAAGATATGAGACACCTGTTTTCATTTCTGAAGAACTGAAAACATTTTTGAAGAAGTTCCTGACAGTTGACACCCAGGGGAGGCCCACCCTTCCTGAAATTATGAGGAACATTTGGATCAAGGAGTGGAAGTTGCCAGAGGTGACTGGGAAAGCCACAGTGACTGCCAGGCCTCTACCCAGCCTGCAGAGGAGTCCCGATTCCAGCACAGCCCCACAGCACGGCTCCATAGCACGGCCCCACAGCACGGCCACAGGGCCTTCTCCTCCACCCACAGCACCAGCAGCCATGGGGAAGAGCAAGGAGACACCTCTCCCTAGAAAACATCCTGGGAAGCCAACTGTCTTCGGGCTGGGCAGCCAGATGGAAGACCTCCACCTCTCCCTCTGAGGAGGGCCAGGGCTGGAAGGGCTCACTAGGAGATTTCCCGACTTTATATTAACAATGTGCTGTATCTGACAGCCCAAAAGATCTGCTATAGACAGGTAAACAAGGTGCTGCCAGGGAATGTGGACAGCGGAGGCAGCAAGAGCAAGTATGTGGGGCGGTCCAGCCATATTTCCTGCATCTATTTCATTTGTTATGGTTTTACTGATATTAGTTTTAATAGAGAAGTCATAATTGCATACATGTATGGGGTACAATGTGAAGTTTATATACATGTGCATTACGTGGAATGGTGACATGAAGCTAATTAATGTATCTGTCCCCCCCCCCCGAAAAACAAATGCAGCATGATGTCACTTAGGTGTTGAATCTGCAAAGCTGACCTCATAGAAGTATGGTAGTTTGATGGTGATGAGAGGCTGGGGAATGGCAGAGGGAGGGCATGGGTAGTTTGTTCACAGGGCACACAGTTTCAACAGACAATAGGAAGAAGCCCTGACATCCTTCGCACAGTAGGATGGCAAGCGTCAATGAGAATGTATTGCACATTTCTAAATACCTGACAGTCCCCTTCAAATGTCTCCTTGCCTTTAGAGTGGAGAGCAAGAAGACCCAGAGCCTCCCGGATCTTGACAACATGGAGTGGGAGGTCAGCCAAGCGTGGACTCACAGCTCTGTGAGGGAGCCGGCAAGAAGCAGCCTGCGGCCTTCAGAGGCATCTGAGCCATAGTAGAGTGAGTTGAAGCAGGGCCTGGAGCCTTGGAGACAACAGGGCCCCTCTGCCCCCACCGGGTCCCCTTTGTTCCCCAGTGTGGATTTTCTTTATCCTTAGCAGCCCGGTCAGCAGTCACCCAGTGCTGCTGTCTCTAAAATCTATCCCTGGCTCTCACCCCTTCAGCAATACTTTTTTGTTGTTCTTGTTATGTCATCACACATTATGATCCAAATATGGGAGATTCAAATACATTTGAATTATTTTGTGAAACAACTTTATTTCTAGGAACCCAGGGTTTCAATTCTATGGAAGCTTTCATCCTTCTGAGCTCTTCTGGACTTGAAAGCTCCTCATTAGGTTGGCTGACCTATGTTCCTGGCTCATTTTTACCTCAAGGTCTCAATAGATCATTTTGTTAAGGAGATAGAACATTCCAGATTGGTACTCTGTAGCCTTTCATGTCTTTGTTGAGAAGAGATGGATGTTGAAGGATCATTCAAACCTGCCTTGTCTTGTTAGTTGACTTTCTGCAGTTTCCAGAGCAGAAGACACAAGGTGGACACTGAATTGCACTGTCCTAGATTCTGAAGTTTCTAGTTATGAATCCTTGTTGTGCCAACCAGGAGAAAAGGGTGAGTGGAGAACTGACTGTAGTTTAGTCTATTCATTTCGCTTTAATACATTGAACAGTTTTCAATGGCATATTCTCTTTGATTTAGTGAGAACTAGCGAGAGCATTCTCTTTTGTCGAGGGTAATAACAAGTTTGTTCAGAAGGGAATCCCTGAAAAGTCATGTATCATTACTATCAATTCTACTTATCACAAAGGAGACAAAGGGAAGATTTGAAGGAGGAGAATCTTAAATTTTGAAAATGATAACTTTTTTTGTTGTTTTGCCTTTGGTTTTAATTTAGTGTTTTCATATGTGAAGATAAGCACATACAAAAAATAACATAGAAGTTGACAATAGGGTTTCCTTGGGTTAAACAAGAAAGAACTACAATGGATTATGGGGTTTACTTAGGTTTCCTATAGACAAATTTATAGTGATAGCAAATTGTATCATTTTTCAGGACTAACAGTGTTGTACTTAAAATCCAGAAACAAACAGAACATGATTATCAAAAAGGCAAAAGAAGAATTTCCTCAAGCCTTAGTTTGAATGATTAGTCCAGTTGATTTGGATGCCAGTACACCTTGATTTATGCTGTTTATACATTTTTTAAAAGGGCAACTCAAACCCATAAAATGTGACTTTCTAGACTTTGGATATCAGGCTCTATAGATTCTTAGGTTCAGAAGTCAAAGTTTTTGAAACAGTGAAAATACATGAAAACAAAACAGGAACCATGGCATCGAAATTTTTTTCTAGCTCATTTTTTCTACAGATGTATCATTGATTTGGAGTAGGAGAGTTCTGGCTGTTATCTATCAATAATAACGCATTCATCACAGTAAATGTATACTATACTGATAACATTTATGATAGCAAAAAATTGGTAGCCATGTAAATTTGTCTCTGAAGTTAGAGCTGAAATATTCTCCTGGCTCCCAACATCTGCTCTTATCCATGTGTTTATAGGAAAATTGGAAACACTTTACTTCTAACTAAGTAGATTTTCATCCTAGGAGGTTATCTTTTGTATTTTAAATTTTCCCATGGCAATTTTATTCTGTATGGAAATAGCTCCCTGGAGAACAGACTCTTTACTGCCTTGAAATCAGATTGGGACTCAGTTGTACCCCCTATGAGGGTGAGCAGGTTGCTTCATCTCCCATTTGTGAAACAGGGGAAGTAATAGCTGCCCTACCTAAGTAAGATCATGCTTGGAAAATGACTGCAGAGACTTACAGACATTACTTTGGACTCTCTACTCAATGCCATAGCTTTTGTCAGCTAATTTACATATATATATTAACTCCTTTAATCCTCTAACATAGTCATGTGGTCTTAATTCTCGTGTGGGATTTGAGTGAGTTATATATGTAACCTAAGTAAAACTTAGTTGTTCACCTGCAAAACAAGAGAAATAGCTGTATCCACTCTATAAGGCTGCTGAGAGAATCAAAGTAACCCATGAGTGACTTAGCCCAGTGCCTGGGCTCTTTTTAATGCTCAAAAAATGTGAGCTAACATTGCAACCTTATAGACTTTGGGTTAATTCATGGGACCTGTTACATAACAATGCCCGATTAGGATGATGTCATTGGTCAGAAATCTTATTGTATCTATTTTCTACCTATCATCTATACCCATCTAGTTTTTACTAAGAAGATGGAAGAGAGAAAGAGGAAAATTTTATTTGGCATGTAGACACTTAAAGCATGTCATTTTAGTGTGCCTGTACCAAGTACCCACTGGCTGCTAACCCAGATAACAAAAGTAAAAGGCAAAGCAAGTTATCCTGGCTCAGGTTACTTGGTGTTGATGTAGCCTTGGGAAGAGTCTAATAACGGAATAATATGGACTAAGTTTTCTTCATCCTGAAAAGTATAAACACACATTCTCCTAGAATGTATATGGAGGGGTAGTGTTTGTGTTTTTTTGTTGTGTTGAGAGATAGGAATAGGGTGACAAAATGAGAAAAGCTAATATTAATACTTGATAGATAGTATTAAACTTTGATTTAAAATGGAAAAACCACTGTGGTACCAGAAAAATCTGTGAAGTAAAGCAATGAAATGAATTATCAAGATAATTGGAAATATATTCATGTCAGGTCTATGTTGACTGGAATTATAGTTACTAATGTATATTTTAAATTAATTATAATTTTTTAGACACTCATAGTTTCCATCTCTTGAAGGAATGCTGATGATTTCTGCCAGCTTTTCCCCTCTGCTTTAGGTGAACTGATTGACAGGTGATTGTTTTGGGCAAGAAATGGGAAATTGACCAAGTAAAAGTGTGCAAATATTTTTTATTTGGAATTATTAATAGAATGCTATGTTTTCCTTTTTATGTTTAGACTTGCTTTTGGCTACCAATATAGGTTACAAGTGCTTTGTAAAGTGAAAAGCAATATATCAACATTAATTTTTGTACCTTGAGTTATGAAATGTAAAGAAAATCTTTATCATTTGAAAACATTAATTTCCTAAAATACTAATTTATGTAATTATGGAAAGTGCTGATAATTTTTTTGTACAGACAGAAATACAAGCAAAATAGCTTTTTAAAAAGTATTTTTATGCATTTCAAATCAGATCTCTCCAGGGGAGTCTTTTAGGGCAAGGGGTTGCATAGACAGTTCTTTACATCATGCAGTGAAAAAAAAATAGGGAAGAAGAATCTACTCAAAAATGCAGAAGGAGATGAGCCTTAGAGAAGAGTTTGTTACAATAATCTAGATACCTCATCTGCAAACCAGAATGTTCTTACTTGAAATGTGTCCTGTAGTGCAGTACTTACAAATAATGTCAGGTAGGATACTATAATGACTTTCTTTCATGTCTTAGAAAGCAGATGCCACTGGAGAACAATGGCCAAGAGGCAGACCTAAATGGATGAGTAATAAGATATCACTGATTTCTGTTCTTTTTTTTGTAAAGAAAGATTTCTGGTTTTTAGAAGAGAAAAATTGTATTCATTAATTGTATGAATTTCTATGTTCTGGTTTGCTGAATCTTTGAAAGGGTTAAGGCAAGTGACAAAGTATCACCACTTCTTACCATTAGGCTCCAGGTGTTTAATCAGGACACTTTCCTCTACTAAGGTGACTCCTTTTTCTTTCTTTTTTCACCGTCAAAAGAGTCCCCGCTCTTCCTTCCAATGGGGCAAGGATGAAGTGACTTGTTTAGTAGGTTGAATAACTAAAGTTATAGGGTACAATGAGGATTTGGAAACTGATTGCAAATGGTGATATTTCAGATGAATTATGTATGAGACAACTTATAGTGTCCCCCCCCCCACCACAATGGCTTTGTTATGGACACATCTCATTGTCTAGGTGGCTTCTGTTTTCTTTTTGACATGGCATCCTTAGGAAGCCAGGGTCTAATGTGCATTTTTTCTTGCTTCCTTTAGTAATCACTCTTTATGTCCTGACATTGGAGACAAGTTGCATCCACGAAAGTGCACTTGATCCCCCAGGCACACAAATCCTGAACCTTTTGAGGCCAAAAATTCAGTGATCACTGCAAAACTGCTGTGAACTAAAATACAGTCTTAAGGCTCCCCCTCCTCCACACCAGCTTATTATTGAATGGAACCCCTGCTGGCTAAGGGGATATCCTAAAACTAAATTGCCTACCACAAGGAGGGAGGTCAGACATGTCTCATCATGCCCCCCTCCCTTCTTGGAGACATCCTTTGTAACCCATTAACAGGCCTAAGGGGGTATGCAAGACACACCTTCAAGTCCTCAATTTATACAACAAATATATGTCCAGTGGCTTGTCTCTGACTAACAGACTTCCTCCTTATCTTAACATATGCCAAGCCTTTAGACAAAGCTTCATATCTTCAACCAATTACAAGTCAAATAATTTTTAAAGCCACCTGTAACCTATAAGCTCCCTCTCTTCGAGATGACTCACCTTTTCGGGCCAAACCAATGTATGCCTTCCATATATTGATTTATGACTTTACCTGGAACCCCTGTCTCTCTGAAGTGTATGAAAGCAAAGTTTAACCCAACCACAGTGAGTTTACTTGCTCAGGGCTACTTTGCTAGGCTCCAGGTCATGGTCTTCAAATTTGGCTCAGAATAAATCTCTTGAAAATTCTTTTACAGAGTATGGCCCTAGACATGGGTGGGGCTCAGAGAAGACTCAGGACTGCTGAAGGAGTAGCCCAAACTCAGCACTAGGTACTGGCATATCCCTTTTGGGCCCTCCAGTTTCAAGCTTCTCCTTTGGTGGAACTGGAAGTCCTCCTGAGCTCTGGGTCCCCAGTTTTTCATTGATGGTCTTGTTTTACTTTGAGCTGGTTCTTTTCCTAGGAATTGTTGTTTTGGATCCCAATTTAAGAATTGAAGGTGCATTCTAAAGAGTCTTATCTATTGTCTTGTCATCCTAAAATTTCTGTGAATTAGCATTTCTGTGCATTTGTGAAAGAGGAAACTTAGCTGTCTTGTTTGTAGATAAATGGGAGACTGAGTTTCACAGCTCTGAAGACAGGGGGCATTTTACTCCTCCCATCCAAAAGGCAGCCCTGGGCTACCAGGGTCCTGAGTGGGAGTTGCCTGGGGCAATTTCCTGAAGTGTGAGTGGCCCTATAGGGAACCTCGCAACAAATTAACCAAAAGAAGGCTCATCCAGAAAACATACATAAGGGCTGGTCAGTCCACATTTTGAACCCCCTCTTAGGTACTAGACTCCCAAAGAGAGAAACTGAGACATGTAAGAGGGCGGGACCAACTCAGTGGTGAAACATTGCTTAGCTCCTCCCACAATCAGCACACTGTGATCTATGAAAACCAACCCTAGTCTATACCTTGGTGTCTTCTTTTAAAGAGAAATGGTAAAAATCCTTTAAAAATGAGGAAAAACATGGAGAATGACCCCCTTCAGGCACCCCAGTTGGTTTGTGGTGCCTCTACTTGCAAGTATTTTTGTAAATGAGAAGGTTCAAAGGCATGCCAGGTTTTCTAGGGCTCCAGCTGGTTATAGCTGATTCTT